TGGATCCACTTGAGGAATTCCTCGAAACTCAGAATATGACTCATATTGTTTTCCTCCATCCCAGTTGTGGACGAGTGTTTCTGTCCTTCGCCTGCCAAAGCAAAGGAATGGCAGGCCTGGCAGGGCTGACATAGACACATGTCCCGTTGTGATTGTCATGCTCCCAGAGAGCGGAATCCCAATACGATCTCTTTTGAACCGCATGTGATTCATTGGATTGATTCGGAAGCAGCCGCAGTCCATCCAAATGCGATTTTCCTGGGACAGCACAGGTGAAAGTCTCTCTTCTTCAGACACGGCTGTCCCGCGTGCGCATAGAGCAGGCAAGCTGGATGTGTGGGGGGGGCGAGGTGCTTGCTTTTGTCTAATGTACTTCAAAGGCTCAATGTACTGGTCTCGAAGGTCTCCATCAATATGCATGTATCTGTGCGGGATATTTGCGATGTTGTTTTGCAGATAAGTGCAAAATGCTCCATCAATTCTATATATATATAAACTGTATATACATGTGTATACACTATATGTTCCCCTTGACACGTCATTTCTTCATGGCAATATGGTGTCAAGGTCATGGAGTCCCGTGGGAACACCGAGCGATGGCGGCCAGCCATTTGTGACTGGTTGGTGGCCTCGAGGCTGCTGTTTGGAGAGGCAGGGAAGCCGCTGCGTTGAGGAGCTGTTTGGCGCAATCTCGGATTTGAGGGACACATTTTGGGGGTTCAAAGGCACTCCCAGCGCCCTGGTGCTCTGCTTCTGTTTGTATTTGCCTTCACCTAGAAGCACTGCCATGTCGCGAAGAATCCATCGATGTGCGCAGCTCAGGGTTCAAGGCAACTCCGATCTGCCCAGCCTTGGCGCAGCCTTGTGATGTTGCACATCAGGGCTTTGTCCGGCGCAACGATTGCTGAACTTCATGAGCATGACTTGCAGCCCATGGTGGAAAGTGACAAACCTGTGAAGGCCCTGAAGGAGTTTCTTTCAGCTCAGACAGGATGCCCCAGATTCCGGCTCAGACTGTGTGCAGCAGAAAAGGGCGAGTTACGTGACAATGATGTCTTGACCTCACTCTCAAATCTGCAGCTAGTCTTCTTGGAAGATTTGTCCACTACACTCAGAGATCAGACGTTTTTGTTTGCATGCGCTGAGAACCAGCCCAGCGAAGTTGCATCGATGCTTAAGTCTTTACAAAATCCAGACACAAGAGATGTGCATAGCAACCAAGGAGCCATCCACATTGCAGCTGAAAACGGCCACTCTGAGGTAGTCAGATTGCTACTGGAAGGTGGAGCCGATGTCAATGCCCGAGGGCATGGCAACCAAGCAGCCATCCATCTTGCATCTGCAAATGGCCACTCCGAAGTAGTTAGATTGCTACTGGAAGGAGGAGCTGAAGTCAATGCGCGAGGGAGGGATGGTGAAACATCTTTGCATTTGGCCACCCAGTACAACAACGTGGCGGTGATAGAGTTGTTGCTGGATGCTGGAATCGACAAGAATGCAGCCACACAGAAGGGCACAACAGCTCTACATATCGCAGCCCAGTATACCCGGGACCAAGTGGTAGAATTGTTACTGGAGGCCCGTGTTGATATGAATGCTGTGGAACAGAATGGCTCAACAGCTTTGTACGCAGCAGTACTGACTAGCCGCGTAGAAGTAGCAGAATTGCTGCTAGAGGCGGGTGCCGATCCGAATATCGCACTAGAAAATGGTTCAACACCTTTGCATGCAGCTGCCATGAATGGCCACAATGAAGTCTTGCGGTATTTGCTGGAGTCGGGTGCAGACAAAGATGCTGCAACGCGAACTGGTATAAGAGCCTTGCATATTGCTGCTCAAAACAGCCAGTTGTATGATATCAAAAGGTTGCTGGAGGCTAGAGCTGAAGTGAATGCTGCGACGCAAAAAGGTTTCACTGCTTTGCATATAGCGGCGCAGAACGGGAACTTTGAGGTGTTAGAGCTTTTGTTGAAGGCTGGCGCAGACAAGGATGCCCAGCCAAATGGCTCCACAGCTTTGCATGTGGCAGCTCAGATTGGCCACATAACGCACTTGGAAGTCATCCGACTATTGCTAGAGGCTGGGGCTGACAAGAACACGACCTCCTGTGCTGGCGCAAAGCCTTTGCATTTGGCAGCCCATAATGGCCACTTGGAAGCGATGCGATTGTTGCTAGAGGATGGCTGTGACGCGAATGCTACAACAGCAGATGGCAAAACCGCCCTGTTTTCAGCAGCCCAAAAGGGCCAGGTGGAAGTGGTGCGATTGTTGATAGAAGCTAGGGCTGACACAGACTTTGCCATGGCAGATGGTGTCACAGCTCTTCAAAAAGCACGAGAAAATGGTCACTTGAAAGTGGTCCGTTTGTTGCAGGGGGATTGCACTGAACAAGATGGTCAAGATGTCCAAGATTCTGCAAATGCAGATGATTGACAATTGAGCAGTTTCATCGTAGCTCCAAAAGAGGTGAGAAGTGAGCCGGGTAGCGGAAAGAATAGAAGCTTTGCACTCGGCACCTCACAGTGTGGACCTGATCCACCTGATCAAGCGCGCGCCTTGCAGCTCGCTGTTTGGTATTTGGTGACGGTCATGGTCTGAACTTGTGGGTGTCAGTGTTCTCCAAACTATGTGAGCATTCTCCTTTTTTTTAGAGAAGCTCAGACACAGAAAGCATGGAGGGAGTCAAGCTGACCCACAAACGCACCATCGATCACCATCGTATCTCATCGTATCTTCAGGAATCCGTGAGCCTTCGGCTTTGTGACACCTTGGAAGCGATTTTGCAGATGCCAGAGCCACGGAATGCGCTCATCGAGTTAGAGCCTCAGGCAATCACTGAAGACACATCAATAGGCGCCATTCCTACAGTCCTTAAACATCCTAAAACTATGGTTGGTCCGTTGGTCCACGACAGTGCTCAACAAACCCATATAACTTATAACCCATTTGTATCCATTTGTCATTCATGGTGATGGTTGGTTTTTTGGGTATTCTGCAGGCGTGGTCTGGGGTTTTGATCCATAAGACTGACACCGTACCGTTCGGCTCCTGGCACCTGGGCATGTATCAGGCTATTGCTACACCGAGTGCCAACTGTCTCGCGTACCACTGCGCTGGAGTTTGTTGACGCATATTTGCAGCATGAAGGGTAGGGCACTCGGGCGGGCACACAGTGGCGTCTCCGTTGCTTTTGGGATCCAATCGAATTCACCGCCCTCACTTGCATACAAGGGCGACAAGGGCTTACACTCAGTTAATATCAAACTGTCAAACCCTTTTGCTGGACTCGTGTCTTCGCGAAAGATTGCAGCATTGACATTGAATAGAACGGCAATGTAGGAGATGTTGCAGAATGTAGGAGATGTTGCAGAATGTAGGAGATGTTGCCAGCCAGCCTGTTTTTGGAATATCAGTTTGTAGATGGAAGCGGAGTCGGTTCCCAGGCTCACAAAAATCCACATCTCTCGCTCGCCAAGATACAGAGATAAGGTTCCGGCGCAAGACGGCCTTCGGCAACAGCTTGGTAAGCTTTTGCTTTCGTGTTGCAATGCCAGCTCCTCAGTCGATGTGGGTGATGTCGTCACAGTATCTTTGCGTTCGGTTCCAGGATCACTTGCGTTCGTTTCACAGCTTCATGCCCATGTGTCGCGCAACATGTTCGAGCCTTCACCATGTGAGCTGCACTTACCCGGCTTGCCCGTCGGGGTCGAACATGTCCAGGCAGGACGTTCACTCGGATGCGTTGTGCAGCTTTGTGGAGTTCCTGGCCTTGACACCCAAAGCCCATGAGACTTCCCCTGCAGCCCAAGTCTCAGACGAGAACAGCCGGTGGTTGAGTCCAAGGTGCTTTTGTGCTTGAGAGGGAGGCAAACATATGTACAGATTGATTTGGATTGATTTGGATTGATTGATAGATTATATCAGCATCAGAAATCAGAAAACTGATTGAGGTAGCAAGACTGTTGACCCAGCTGACAAGCTGATAGCAGATAGCCATTACTCTCGAAAAGTACCTGCATATCACCTAAGACCAGAATCTTCAGGCCGAATGATTGACTTGTCGACCTTGAGGTGAGACTCTTGGCCTGGGCAACCTATGTGATGAACGCTAAGAAGAAGTGGGATTTGAATGGCTTGGGAGCCATTTGGTCAAAGAGGCATCTCTTCGTTGACCAGGCACGGCACACATTTTCTGCCCTCGGACTTGCGGACTCCGGAAATGGATCCAGGTGAATTTTCCCTTCGAACTGGCCGAAGAGGGGCTGGGCTGTCCAAGTGGAAGTGGCCCGAAGCTGAGACGTATGATCTAGCGTCGTGTAATGTCGATTGCGCCCATGGCCAAGTGGGAAGAAGCTGGAAACTCAAGGCCCAACCTTTTCATGGGCCGGTGATCCTTCCTCGATGCGCGATTTGGTTGACGCAGAATCTAGGCGGCATTTGATGGTCACAGGAAGCTTTCAGGCTTGCAACCGTGGGGTCTAGATGCAACGTTTGGTCGCCTGTGGAATGGATCATGCCATGAGCATATATTATGTTGTTATATTACAATACATGACATTTTAAACAATTTTAACGATATCATTTCATACCACATATATATATATATATGTATATCATTTATTTTATACTATAGGTGTAGGTGCTCGCTAGGTCTAGGTCTCAGAACACTCCCCACAGTCCAGGGCGGTCGTCCAGCACCCCCGGTCGTCCAGGTCCGGCGAGGTCATTCAGTGGACTGGGCCGAGGTGCACAGGAAGGTCGGAGCCTTCCAGCCTGGTCAAGCGACTGCGTCGAAGACGGAACTGGGGTGAATGGGTCAAATGTGGTGGTGAAACGTCTCAAATCCGAGGGGGAGAAGGTGAGAAGGTCTCTTGACGTGTCTTGATTGAGTCCTCGGTCAGCCGAGTCAGCTCAAGTAGACTGGCATGAATACAAGTCGCAAAGGTTCATTTTTGTCTTAAGAAAAACAAGACACAGAGCTTTGCATAGGAAGAGTCGCAGGTGGACGTTTCCACCTGCCACACTTGCAGGATGCCCGTTTAAGACCACCCCGTCTCGTACCATGGAAGAGACCGAGGATGTCGAGGAGGAGCTGCCACGTTCTCGTTCCCGATCTCGGGACCGCTTAGAATCAAATCTGGTGCCGCGGACATGCCGCTTTTGTGGGAAGCACACCATCTGTGAATTTGGCCGAGAAGAGAATCTATGCAGCAGGAGTGTGCCAGACTTGGAGCTGTTTTCCTGATATTTGGTGAAACGAGTCTTTGTGGGGAGTGTGTTGTGGAGACAGTAGCTAGTGAAACCGATCATTCCACCCTGTAGGAGGTGCTACAATCAAACCATGAAGGGATGCGATGTTTTGCTTTGGGATGGTGGCGAAGCCAAGAACTGGCTACACACTGAAGGCTGGGCTGCACGCTGTCCGCCGAAATTGGGTGAAAACTGTTTGCATTTGTTTGTGGTATCCTCAAAAAGGATTCCTGAGCATTCTTTAACACAGTGTGATATATTGTGATTCCATGCAAAACTGTGATACACTTACAAGGGCATGCATACCCGTAGTTAGCTCAATGTTTGCCTTTGAACACTGAGCTTTCAGAATCTGTGCACAAGGCTTGAGCAAATGGAGTCGGCAAATCGATGTGGCACATGGCCATCAGCTTCTCACCAAGATGACGGAAGGCACTCTTGGAAAAGCTGGCGTACCTCAAATGAAAGCCAAGGATGCCATAAAGACCATCGCATCTTGCCGCAGTTTTGACTGGGGAATGACTGGTGTGCTTTTGGAGTCACGTTTGACCGGCCATTTGAAGAAAGCCACGTGAAAGAGATTGGGCAGGATTGTCAGGGAGTATATTATCGGGATCCAGCCAATGAGTTTGAATGCGGTCGGCCTTAAACTATTTGTTTTCATTTGTACCGTGCTTGCTTCAAGACTGGGTGCTTTTAATGTCCGTGAGTCCGAGAGTATGATAAGTTTGTCAGTTTGTTTCTTCTCTATGATGGCATGGGTGGCAATGTGCTGTGTTATTGCTTTAGCATCGCTGTGTAATCATGTTTAAATGTAGCATGTGATAGCGAACGCTGTTTTTCACGATGCAGCATCAGGAAGAGTTACGTCAGGGCGCCTGGGCGCAAATTGAACCTCCTCGCAAGGAGCTCCCCTTGGAAACAGTTGCCGAGATGGGATTCAAAGGCCATGCGAGGATGAAACTCAAAGTTGCTTCTTTGCATCAGGATCAACCGATGGAGAATATACACCCCTATCATCCCCTATCCGTTTATATAGGTTAATATCATTGCTTATGCATGTAATAATGTGAAGTTCATATATTGTGAATCTTTTGCAGTAGAACGTGGGGCTTGTGTTTGATCCAGGCTAGAGTTAAAGCTCTGTGTCAGGTGACTGGGAGATGGTCATCGAGGACAATCCCCTGCGCTCGTATGCAGCCGTTTGCCGACAAGCAATCGACAGTGACCTCGCCTGGAAGTGGTTCGAAACGTGCCTAGCTCGCAGAATATTGGGTGAACAGGTGGTCCAGCAAGTGTTCGGTAAGTCTTGCTTTCCAAAACTGGGGATGGGTAGTAACTTGTAGCGGAGGACCGCCTTTGATTTGAGATCTCTCGTTCATAGTTGCTGCGGAGAATCTTGGATATGAAGCACATCGATGGTAGCCTTCCTTTGCAGACTTGCTACTGACAGGTATATGTTTGAGTATCATATTCTCACAGTCACGGGTCTGAACTTATTCTATGATGACCCTTTGATAAAGTATTGTCCCGAGGTTGCAGACGCAGCTGCCATGGCAGGACCCTACGGACGAGAAATACCAGAAGAATGGCAAGACGATCGCAAGACGAACCATTTTTGTGGTGGATCAGGGGTGCAACTGCAACTGAGCTGCGTTCAAGACCTTTAGTCTTTCGGGAGTTTTTCACAAAACTTCCAGGGGTCACACCTCAACATGTCCTCAAATATCTCCTGTGTTTGTGTAGGTATGTTCCTCTTCCAACTGGTTGCTTGTGCATTGTTTTGTTGGATTCCAATATCTTCTGCCATGTTCGGTTCCCTTAAATTCTTTCCATGTGAGCTCTTTCCATGTGGGCAGGCATAGGCTGACAATCAGGTTTGCACCGAGCAAACGGGATGAGATGGTTTCTTTCTGTCTCAGCTGTGAGCTTTTGAGTGATACTACGGGGACTTGAAGCAAAGCTCACCCGACTTGCACGAAAACGCTTCTTCCACATGGGGTCATGGGCAAGCCATGGCAAGAAGGCCCACGACGAGGTGATGAGAACGACCTCACCACAGGTGTTTTGCTAATCAAAGAACCTTTACTGGAGCCCACATGCCAAGTGCAAGACAATCCTTGGAAGAAGGTCTTTCTACAAGGGCAAAGGAGCTTAGCAAGCAAGCGGTCAAACGGAAGCGCCACGCTCGAGATTGAACGCTGGCATGCCACAACTTCAGTATGACTCAAGTTCCTTGTCATCTAGCTCCACTTCGCCTTCCTCATCTTTATTTGCCAAGTGATTCTGCTCAGAACAATTGAAAAAGGTTTCATTTGCATGCAGCGCAAGGAATTCCTATGTTCTCAACTACCTCAAGCACACACCACTCCAGCAGACAAAAAATAGCAAAATCGGTTTTGGCACAAGCTCGCGCAAACCGTTGAGGATAAGCCCCCGCGCAAGCTCCTAACTGTGGTCGCGTAAGCATCCCGCAAGAAATTTCAAGCAAGAATGAATATTGTCAATGTCGTTTACAAGGAGGTGTTGAACACCGCTCAACTAGCATATGCACTGCAAGTTTAGCATACGGTATGACAACCTTTTCCCAGTGCCTTTTTGGTTTGTGGGGCTTTGATCTCTACCAGCAGCATGAAGAAATGTGAGGTACATACAAATACTCCGGCGTTGCTGTAAAGCCCTTCCCTGAGACTGACTTTCTGGCAGAGATTCGGAAGAAATGTGTGGAGATTGCTGGGCTTCCAGTGCAGCCCAACAGTTGCAACATCAATTTGTACCGGGACGGCCATGATGCGGTCGGCTGGCACACGGACGACGAGCCTTTGTTTGAAGGTGACTACAATGACATTTGCATTCTAAGCTTGTCGCTGGGATCTTCTCGAACTTTCCAGGTGAAGAAGAAGGGAGGGAAGCGAGATGTCGCCTTGAAATCCTTCGTCGTCTCGCACGGAGATCTTTGCACCATGGAAGGCCGCTTCCAACGGCATTATCTCCATGCGATTCAAAGAGAGCCCGAAGTGGCCGAGCCCAGGATCAATCTGACCTGGCGCTATATCACCAAGCACAATCATTCTGATGGCTGTAACTTGCAGGGAGAGGGGAACTAGGTGAACTAAGTTCCCCGGAGCATGGTGAAGTCGCCGTGCTGCTTCTCTCGAGTTGTGTAGAAGCTCAGACCCATCGCTCAGACTTGTTCAATCTCCAAAAAGCATAGTGCTCTCCTTGCAGTCGTCAGAGCCAAACCTGTTGTGGGCTCAGTTGATGGCTTTCTCAATCTCCTCTTCTTTGTGCGCCCTTACACACGAATAGAAAGTTCATGTCATTTGCACACAGAAGAACATTCCAAAGGTCCAAGCAGTCAAGCACCAGAAAGCTCCGCCCATTTCGGCAAACGTCGCATGTGATCCATGATGATCCATGTTCAAATCTAATTACCCCTCATTGGTCAATACAAAACTGACCATCCAACATGTAGCGGCCGCTCCGGAAGATAGCTCAGGTGTGGTCTGTGGATCATATTAAAGACTCCGAGCTTTTTGCTCAGCTTCTCTCCCTGAGACATGGCCTCAGAATGCCTCAGAGATCTTTGTGCGAAGTCTGGAGGTTCTTTAACCCCTTCAAAGAATGTTGTCACTTTCCAACGAGTCAGAGCCAGACATGATTCCCTGATTCCCTTTCAATGTCAAAACTCGTTCGAGGTCGAAGCCCCAGCATGATTTTGCAGCAAGTGATGCCCTCCAACCTTTGCAGTTTACTCCGCACGGAGCCTTAGCAGTCAGCAGAGCACAAATTGCAGTTCCATGTATAAAACGAGTTATACACATATTATATATATATATATTATATAAGTAAGTTCCATGGGGAAATGATTGTAGCATATGGTAGCAATCTAGCAGTGCTTCACATTCGTAGCGCCTCTTGATATGTGTCTGCTTTATGGGCAGAATGGCAGAACATGATACCCCTATATATAGCTGGCTGAGTAAGTTACAGCTTACAAAGAAGCTTTGTTCTTAAGCGGATATCGAAGGTCCAGGCGGTGAAAGCCATTGACTGACCAAGAAGAATGAAAACAGAAAGAGGCTTTGTTCAGATTCAGGATACTTGTAGTTCATGTGCCGTGTCTTGAACATCACATGTTTGAATCAACAGGTTTATGGCAATGTTTGAATCCGGTTCAGCCGACCTGCAGCAAGCTTAAAATCATTCGGAATCCTGAGAAACTACCGGCATGGATCAAAACTAGACCCAAAGAGAGCGGTCAACATTTGTCTATACCAAGGTTGAATACACCAAAACCTGACCCAGTAAACCCAATAAGGAAAAGTGTGAACAACAGGGTGCATTCGGTCAACACCGTCCAGCTCTTAGGCCTCTCCAACACAGCAGCTCCAACTGCTGTGCAACTGGCGCGCATCATTCTACAGCATGCGTTCTTGGCTAAGCATGAATCAATTGATATCAATTGTAACATAGTGAAGCAAAAATAACCGCTGCATGCATGAAATCATAGCACAGAGGGGGTTGACATAGAAAGAGGTCTTCTCCAACAAGTCTTGGAGAGTCTACTGGCCATGCGAAGGGTGTGTGAAAACAAAGCCAGAGTTTGCCCTTGGATGAGGCCTGTGGACAACTCTAACACCAGCCAGGCCTGAGAAACATCGTGAAACATCTAGAACTGATTAGGGAAACAAGTCGATGTATGTGTTAGGTCGCTGTTTTCCAATGACCAGTTCGAGAATTGAGAAGTATTGGAACGCCGTTATATCCAAGTACCCAATGGCGCAGCACAAGGCGAACCCGCTACCGAGGCCTCACTTCAGATGCTCAAAGGTGCGACATGATCCACCCAAGAGAAGTGCTTAAAGCTCAAGCACAGCTGCCCAGGGGTGGATCAGATCCGCGTGATGGCCACGTGTCGTTCTCGCTTCCGCGTCTTCCGATCATGGCCGCGTGTCTCCCGGATTCGAGGCTCGTGCAGCCATTGCAGATGCATGGAGTCCCTGTCGATGCTCGAGATGCCTTTCAACCGACTTCTTTGATGCTGGCAATAAAACACGATGACATCAGCACCGTGAGAGATCTTCTGAAAGCAAAGGCAAATGTGAAGGCACAGGATGGTTTCGGGACCACTCCACTTGCCACAGCAATTCAACTGGGGCATCACTACTCCATGTTTTTGCTTCTGGAATATGGAGCGCTATGTACACTTCAAACAGCAGATCACCAGGGCATCCGCCCGCTTCACATAGCCGCGTCGGTGGGGGATTTGCTCGTCGTGAAGCTCTTGGTGAAATTCCATGGAAATCCCGTCACCAAAGATCACTCTGGTCGATCCGCCCTCGACTTTGCAGCTTTGTCCGGCCATACAGATGTTTTGGACTTCTTGATAAACGTCCTCCAAGATGGGGACGAAGATGGCGATTCTGATGGTCACCGTCACCGTCTTGCAGGCAAGAGGTCCGTTTCCAGTTGCCAGGACATGATGCAAGTTTCTTTAGACTGGCTCATTCATCAAGTAATGTACCCAGATCCTCTCACGCGCAAGGCTGTGCCGATCTTTTGTCATGTCGCATGTGCGTGTGCAGTTTGGGAGCATTGGCTTACTTCCCGACCCTTCCGATGGCTGCAGATGCCGAAGATCACCACATGCTTCGAGTGTTTGTTGCCTGTGGTGTTGGGCTTTGCGCAGTGCATTATCCGAATGGATCCTGGTGTCATTCAAAAGCAGAAAGATTCGGGCATCAAGGAGCTGATATCCATGCTGGAGAAAGGAGTGTTGCGGGAGAGCTTGCCCAAGACGAGACAGCTTTGCACGAGCACGTGGGTTCTAAAGGGTCTTCGGACCAAGTACTGCAGACAGACAGGCACTCACTTTGTTTCATTGTTTTTGAGTTACTTTCTTGTTCGACTGTATTGTGTTATTTATGAATATGGGTTGGGTCTGTCCAATTACCCGTGACAATCAATAAACAATGGTCACCATTTTTGAACAAGGCCTTTACTGAGTATCATCCACTGGGCCCTGGTAGTGGGATAGACCGATAGACCGATAGACTCAAAATATGGGGCATTCAACTCGCCTGTCTATGAAGTATGCAATGAAGCCTTTGTTGCGCAAGGCTTCGCTGCACCCTGTTATGCCCTTTTTCCTGCAGGCACCTGCATCGAAGAGTTTGACCACTTCTGCATTTTGCTGGATGTTCCCATTGGCAGAGGCAACCATCGGCCATTCCTGCTTTTGATGTTTTTGGAGGTGGTTGCCCAGCTGAGCCACAGCATGTTATGCATTTGCACCCTCATCCTGGAAGCACCTCCAGCCGGAATTCGCGGCGTGGTGACCAATTGTACACAGCATCCCATGGTGGCATGTCTTTTTGCACTGCATTGTGCCACCATTCCAGGCATCATGTTTCTGATCCTTGTCCAAGCTGCTTTGATCTCGCAGAACCTTACCATGAATGAGATAATGCACATGCGAAGGTACGAACATTTCTGGTCAGCTGATCAGCGCTTTACAAACCCCTTCAGCAAAGGAAGCGTCGTTCGGAATTGCTTGGACTTCTGGTGGACGCGCACTCGTGGCAGGCCGAGGTTAGGTGAGCCCCTGACTTCTTTGTAAGAATGGGGAGTGCTTAGATCGCCCATCTCCTAGACACAACATCGTTGCCCTTGATGACAATGGTAATATTATATGCTCCTGCAACAGCAAAGGACCAAATTCTTGCACACAAGTGAGATTCACTGAGAATCTCTGCGAAGCTGCGATTGACTGAGATCCAATTTCCAACCGTCTTGACACGGCTGGCTTCAGCCTCGGACCTGCGAAGCTGCAGATCACCGGATGGAGCCAGAGCTGAGAAGAGCGTCGAACCAGTGTCGGTCACCGTGAACACCTTCATTGCTGGGAAGCCCAAGTTCGGGCGGGTTCCGCCTGGGGCGGGTTCCGCCTGCGGTTCCGTTCTTTGAAGCTCAGCCTGCTCACAGGTACAAACTGTGTCGCATTGAGGGAGTGCAAACATATCTCACGCATTCTCAGACGGAATATTGGACGATTTTTATTGGTTTTGATCGCAATTGCGCACCTAAGAGGTTGACCGACCACGATGTTTGTCATTATGGACAGTGGCGCTGGCCTTAGTTGTGGCATTGCCGTAGGATAAAACTAAGTCCCTTAGTAGAAACTCTACACATGCTATTGGGTAATCTTTTTTGGAACGCAGATGCTTGTTGGACATGGGTGTGATATTTTGGACCACGTCTTTGCTCAAAAGCCTTACTTTTCTCAGATAGTATATCTATATACTGTGTGTACATATCCGCATTGCATGTGTGGGCCACATGGGGACAAAGCAACGTCCGACTGAGATCCTGCACGACCAGCAGGAGTTGAATTGAAGCTCGGCTGCACGAAGGAAGCACAAAGACTTGACATGAAGGGCGGGCCACATGTTTCGCGGATATTCCAAAGCCAGAAATGGCCTGTTTGGGTCGTAAGCATCTCTGGGGTCACCGATGTCAAGCTGGATCCAACCGAACAGGGGTTGCCAGACCGATGGTTCGGATCCGAAAAGGCTGGCGGCGAAAAACGCGATGCCCTTGGTTCCGTTCGTAGTAAGGCCAGGAGCGCCCCGTTCGGTTCGCGTCCGAACGCTCCGTTCGCAGCGATGCCCCCTTGTTCCGATCGTAGCTTTTGCCCACAATGGGCCGCTGCCTTTTTCAGGCGTGGATGTTTTGCGACTGGCTGGCGGTCCAGCAGACCTGCACTAAGACTGGTTCGACCAATTCGATGAAACATGTAGAACAGATAGAATGTAAAGGACTGAAGCCTTTTCAGGTCTTGACCTTTGAAAAAGTCGGAATTGTTGGAACTGTCTCCTTTAACGGTGCCATGCCCAGGCCTTGCTCGAGGCCTTGCTTTGGGCAAGAGATTGGAGTACTGAGCGCAGGAGTACGGCAGGGGTGCCCGACAAAACCGAGCTTTCGATCCGACGATGGACCCGATGGGACCTGGGCCCAGTGGCAGATCTGCCCAGAAGACATCAGGGAGGAGTTTCTTTTTGGAACTTGAATGGCCTGAATCTGGGAATGACATCGAAAGGCTGCTTTAGCAAATGGATGGAGGAGTGGCACGCATGTCATACTTATTCATACTTCATGCAGTAGAAAATATTGACCTAGAGGCACTCAAATAAAGGCGATGTCAATTTTCTGGGAGGCAGGCCATGACCTTCATATTCCTTCGTTGTTCCTGCATTTGTGTAGCTTAAACTTTGGCAAACCTTCTTGTGATTGTGCAAGAAGCCCGGATGCACTGCATTTGGAATTTGGAATTGTTGAATGTATATACTTCACTGACCTCATTAGATGCTGCTACTGAGGCCCCTGCACAAGCAAGGACACATTTGCTGCAGCAACTTCTGGCGTTGCTCTCCTGCTGTTGTGCGGAGCCCCGCTTCGCACGTACATTGAGAAAGTTCCTTTGGTGTTTGAAGAACGGGTCTGACATCCAGCGTTCTTGCAAAGCATCCGTTGCGTTCATTTTTTTTGTCATAGTAAAGGGTAGCTAAGTGTAGGAGGGTTCTTGTTTCAGAGAGTTGCCCTGCAAAATCAGAGGATGTTCCACAAGATGTCCTCCCAGTTTTGGATGACCACTGGATGTCCTGACACATTTAAACCATAAAAATACAACCTTCCTGTCGACTCGTTTTTTCAACTGCTCAAGCCATGGATGGACCAGGTCGAAATCCCATTGGAACTGATGTCTCCAACGAGTGGATTCCTTGGAGTCGGCGATGCAAACAGACGCAAACAGTTTTTGCATGGATATGGTGGATATGATGTGCCATGTGCATCAAAGAGTGGAGTTCCAATGCTTGTTGTTGAGCTTCAGGAATGTCTATCATGTGTTTTTCACTCGATAAACGTGTGTCCAAGCACCACCAATGCTGCCAGGGTGTAGTCGAAGCAGGACAAAAACTCCTTTGCTTGTAGGATCTTAAGAGTGATATATGATTGATACGATGCTAGCATGTCGGAAGGTGTGAGTTCTGAATTCTGACAATATCCAGAATAAGTAGAATTGTTAGAAAAGCCTAGGCCCACTAGGTTGCCACTCCATCAACTTGTCCTCTTGTGGACTGGCAGCTTTGGATGTTTGCCAAGCACCCAGATCTTGTGTTCTTGCCATTGCAATGCTATAGTGAGCTTTGTAATATCGCTGGTGCTTGTACTTGAACCATTTAGATCTTAAGACTTGTCAGCTAGGCTGAAAGCAGCCTCACCTGCACAAGAAAAGGCGGGTCACTCAACTCCTCTTTCTCTCTCGGCAGCAGGAGACAAGTATCACAGCAGCATTTTGCCCACCCACGAAAAGAATACCTAGGTGTGGCGAAAGCGGCATGCGGAATCTGGTGGTGTCATGCAAAGACCTTGGAGCTTTGCCCCCCTACATTCTGCTGGGCGCTAAGCCCTATGACTTGGCCCGGTTCCCCTGTGAGGTCGGCAGAGTTCCTAGTGCGAGGTGAATTACCTCCAGCTTTGCCACAAGCAAGACTTTGTGAGGCACGAAGATCACGTGACATTTCGTGTCGGTTGGAGGTTGGAACGACCAATTCCACGCCGAATTGAGAGTTGTGGTGTCAGGTATGTATGAGGGGGAGCTCGCATGATGCGGATGGTGTACTAGCAGAGCAGTCGTTCCCAACAGTTGAGCACCCCGAACGCGGTCGCTGCCAGGTGTTGCAAAGAGTGGCCGAAGTGCAAGCAGATTGGCCCATGGAGGTGGGACAGATGACGGCGTCAAAATCTGGGCTCATTCTTGCGGACCATCCCATGTATTTTATGATACTTTATGGATGTTGTGGTCCATCGGTTTTTGTCTTCGAAAAGAAAGAAAGAGTCAGAGTCAGCTGTAGAAATCTTCTACAAATTGACGGGTCGGTCTCAACTTCCTGTTGGTCGAGGTTCGGCTCTTGTGGCGAGTCCTCCACTCCAGAAGCACTGCACGAGAGGCGAAGCGTCGAGCCAACACCGAACCATGATTATCGTGCTGCCAAGGTTAATGTGTGTGTAGAGTATTGTAGAGTATCTATATCGATCTATAGATATCTATAGAATCATGTATGGAATATGATGGAATTATGTACAGTAATTAAGAAATAAGATCATTTGGCATCACCCGACTTGTAGGTGGATTGGCGTCGTTTCAGGGGAGACATCGGGTTTTTTTCGTATGATCAGAGTTTTTTGTGATGTCCTTCTTGGCGTTGGGTTCAACCTCGGCATAGTTTTGACTTTGTGGCCAAGTCGATTTCATGGTGGCAAGGTGAGCAAGCTTTGGATGGCAGCACCCTATACAATGCAGGAAGGGTCTGCTGTCCGCTTGTCCCGCGAATCATTCCAGAGCACTGGCTTTTCCGTGCCTTCACAGCGGGATCTGATAGAGTGGTGGATTAGATCAGATATCAGTAGGGAATGCTATTGCAAGTTTGGAGAGCTACCTGGATTGCGGCCAGGGCTACCTGGGTGAGGCCAAAGAATGCCTAGACAAATGAGATCCATTGAGGTTTCAAAGTGTTCTGCGAGCCACCCTGAGGGCCTAAAAGACCGTGTATATAGACCGGTATAAGGAATCTAGACGAGTATGAGCAAACCCCAAAGATCTCCTCAAGATCTGTGTGCCGTTCTGAAATAATCACACAAACATCTCTTCCAAAGATGGAGGAATGCGATGCATGCCCCTTCCATTCCTCAGGACATCTCTTCTGAGGCGTGCGGCCCAGTGGAGAAAAATCACCGAAGCACTCGTTGCAGCTCGTTGCATCTCGTTGTGCTCCGCACGGATTCTTTGAGGTTGAATCTGTGGGAGTCTCAGATGGACCGACTATAGTGGGTACGTTCTCGAACGTGCGAGTTTGTCCGCGCGCTTCGTGGGTACGTTCTCACTGTGGACCCGACACGGTGGACCTTACACCGCACGGCTCTGTGCTGGCTGAGGCTCCTGTGCATGAGATGTTTATACCTGGCCTGGGGCTCAGCTGTTGAGGCGGAAACGAGGTCCATCCATCATTCATACCAAGGCCTACCTGCGTGGACAAGAGATCGACACCTGACAAAAACCATCAAAGACACAAAATCGGTCTCTTTTTCAGGATGGATCTGCCGACTCAGGCATCATAGCTGCGTCAGGCACTCTCAGCCGCAGCCTGCAGAAATGCCTACTGTGCACTGGCTGCCAGGCATCGCGTGAGAGTGATCAGATCTGGCAGAAACATTTGCAACATAGTAGAAAAAAGTTAGCCTTTTTCCAAAAACTGAGTACAGAATAAAACCTCTTCTCAAGAGAGCGTCTCACAGTCAAGAGCTTGGTGTGCCGGAGGTCCCCCCAGGAGTCTCTCCTGCATCCTTTGTGGCGGCATGTGCCGACGCCCGAACCTCACAGAATTGCACAAAGAAAGAAGCACGTGGCCACATGTAGCAGACTGGGGGTTCCGTCCGACTCGGCAGATGTCTTTCTTTTGGATGTACTGCACCTCCGGCGCAGCCTCCGGCTTGCAGCACCTTTTCAGTACGAGGCCCTCAACGAACTCCGCAATGCTGATCAACTACGCCAAGTCCGCGTTCAGGGTCCAGGTATCCAGTATTGGGACCGAGCTGGAGCTGTTTGATATTGTTTGATGTTTGTGTTGACAGGTGCCGCAGCGGTACAGCGCCTGGTGCAGGAGGATGTGGGAGTGCATTCCCTCATAGAGATGTGAGATATCAATTTGTTACATCGAGTCTTCAATTTGTTGCATGCAGGAGACCTAAGAGGAGATCTAAGTGGACGAGAATTGGATGCCTGAGCCAACATTGTTGGACCAAACAAGCAGGAGCAGTGCGGTGTCATCGTCTAGAAGCAGTCAAGCAGATAGACCCGGAGCAAATCTGAATGCCTAGAGATCAGCTTAAAGATTGCTTGAATTAATATAATATATAGTATCTCTATACACATTATATATTATATATTAATATATATTCTCTCTATATAGAGAGAGAGGGTAGATAGAATTTCCCTTATTGAACTTAGAATAAAATAGCTGGAATTAATTCCTAAAGGTTGATAATTTTTTGCTGACGGCGGCTATGTGAGAAGGTTAAAAGTTGTCTGATTGTTTTTATATAAATTGGGATGTAATGAAATATAGTTTAATATATTTATATATATTTATTTTAGCAAAACGATGAATTATCGAGATTTGATATATTTAGCAATTAATATTCTATAAAAAAGGAATATATTGGACAAAAATAGCATATTAAAGGAATATAAGATCGAATAGGAATATTATTTATGTTATGGTTAGGATAAGAGGTTTTTTGGCGGGATGCGGTGATAATTCTTAGTTTGAATAATATATATTCGTAGGACCATCGGGGAGGAGGCGGAAAATTAACACTTGAATTTGGAATGATTGATTTGAGGATGTCGTAGGTTCGATTGGCACGAACATGTTTAGTGTTGTTTGCGCATGTTGAATTTTTGTAAAGGTTCTTTACGATTAGGCGTATGTATTGGATGGATATAAATTCTTTATAAATATATTATTTTAATATTTGGATGTTTTATAAAGAAGCATTTTTATGAACTTAAGATTATGATGAAAAATGATATAATGTATTGTACGTTAAATAGTAATGCTATTTGATGAGATCGAAATATCGGATTAGGCGAATCATGGGCTTTATTTCTCTTTTATAGGTGAGAATGGATTGAAATCTTTCGTTTTGAAATGAAAGGAGGCTAGTGTGTGTCTAGAATGCTTTTTAAATTTGTGCTGATTTTATGAATTGTCGATATTAAATTAAAAATCGATGGAATTATTTATCGATGTCGCCACACAAAAACTAATCGCCATCATAACGACGTCTTGAGAAGTAGGTATGGTGCTTCTGAACTAAAAGTAACATAGTCGAACAAAATGCATCGAAACGACAAAACGAAAATGAAATCCGTCCCTGGCACGCAGGGACTAACGTCGACAATAAAATTTTTTGCCCCCCACCTAACCCCCTAAAAATTATTCTATTTCGAATGCCCCCCACCATGACATTTCAATAATTTGTTTTCATCCCATCGTGAGGAGCATGTTGCAATGATCGTGAATTTTGTGGTTCTCGATTTTGCTTGTGGGTCTTTGGGTTGTGTGTTGTGGTTGTAAGTGTGGATGTGTCTTTGTGGTTGTGTGTATTGTGGTTGTGTTTGTGATTGTGTGTTTGTGATTGTGTTTGCGGTTGTGTTTGAGTGTTTTTGATTATGTGTTTGTGGTTGTGTATTTGTTATTGTGTATTTGTGGTTGTGTATTTGGATTTATTGTTGTGACCCAAATAATTTATTATTGATATTTTATATCTTAGAAGAAATTGGGTTACATTGATTGGTCGCGCCCTTGAATTTTGTGGTCGGGCTTTGTGGTCGCGTTTTGTGGTCGGGGTCTTATATGGTTTAATTTGTTATTTGGATTTATTGTTGGTTTATTTTATGTTTTTCTTGTCTTTGGTTGTGTTGATTGATTTTGTATATATTAATTGGTTGTGTTTTTTTTTTATTACTATTTTGTGGTTGGGTTTTTTATCGGGTCTTATTTTTTTATTGTTTGTTTGTTTGTTTATTTTATTATGTTTTTTGATTGAATTATTTATGATAATGACGATAAAATATATTGATTAAATATTTTTGGGGGGAAGCGCCATTTCAGCCTCGAGTTACGGCAGCCATTTCCTTCTAGATCTTCCCGTCATTTTCTTTGCCTTGTGCACTGGATCTCTTGGCCTTCACACCATTGATGATTGTTTTCATTTGGCTGCACATCTTTCTGTCAGGACTGAGGCTGATTTCCCTGGTCCCAAGTCCAGGGCCTATGGATGCCAATGCACCGCCTTTCATACCGAGCGGAACCATGGGGGACGTGAGGGTTGTCCGGGACTCCTCACTCCCGGACGAGAGTGGAGATGGTTCCTTCACTCGAAACCAGAGCTTCTCCACGAAGCCTTCTGAGGTATGGGCCAGAGGAGGCTACGGCCTTGTCGTCTCCCGGCCGCGCATCGTTCAGATCAAGAGGACCTTCAAGAGAGCCTGCTTCCGAGCACTGCAGCATGGCTACACGCCTTATCGAAAAGGCTTTCTTTTTGACACCGATGTACCCTGGCGCATTCGAGAAGCCTATCGACGGCACACACAAGACAAGCTGAAGTCACGGACCCCACAAACAACACCTGGCATACGGTGCATGACCTGGAATGCCTCGAAGAACTTGGTCCATGACGAGCTCCTGCACTGGTGTACATCCCAACCCCTGGACATCATAGCCTTGCAGGAAACTGGTTGGAATTTTAACTCCACCTGGACGTCCCAGGGATGGCATTGTATCCACTCATCGACGAAGCATGCTGCCATACTTGTGCTCATTCGGGGTACACTGGCCAGACCTGAACAGATTGCCTCGGCCTCTCATTTTGATGGCCGACTTCTTCAGATCCGCCTCTTTTTGGACAGCACATACGACTTCATCGTTGTATATCAGCATGCCTGGAATGTAACCAAGGGCAAGGAACAGCTTCTTGATCATCGTGCCAAGATTTGGACCAGCTTGCAGCAGATTTTGAATCATATTCCGCAGCAGCATCAGATGGTCCTTATGGGTGATTTTAATACCACCCTCAAGTTCGACCCGCCACACATCAATAGCCATGATGCCCGTGCGTCCTTGAACACTCACACCGATCGAGATCTTCTTCAGCAATTGGTGAAAGCACAGGACCTGATTGCGTTGCATTGTAAACAGCAGTATGCATCGACCTTTGAACATGGCTCCCATCACTCTCGCATTGATTATGTTTTTGTTCGTCAACATCAGGTCCAATTTCGTCGTATGCAGCCCACCATGGATAGGAGTTTTATGCGCAATTTTGGATGTCATGGCCCTCATCATCATCCACTATTCTTTATCCTGCCCAAGTGGTTTGCGCCTCGGAAACCAGTGCTCCCTCTTAACAACATTGACCGATTTGCTATCCGTACGGCTAGACTCGAACACACTGCACACTGGCAGCAGTTTGAGGTCCAGATTCGACAGAGCATCGCTCGACACTCTACACCTCATCCATCGCATCAGGTATCCATGCACGATTTGGAACAAGAACTTCGAATTATTTGTTCTCATTTCTTTCCCAAAAGAAAATCACGGGTCCCTCATGCACCCAGATTTCCTCAATGGCCGCCAGGATGTGGAATGCCCGCAAGCAGGCTCTGGCCGTTCGTGGTCGCAGCATTCGCGATCTCTTTGAGTGTTGGGCTCATATCACCACCTTTCGAACCATCCATAAAGCCATTCGTAAACAGAGCAGGCAAAATAAGAGAGACAAATTACAACAGATTCTCACTGAGGGTGCTGATCTTGCCCTTCATGGACGCATCTTTGACTGGTACCGGAAGATCAGGCTCCTGTGTCCGAAACAAAGACCGAAAAGAATTCAGCTCTTTGATACTCATGGCATGCCTCTTGCACCGAGACAGGAATTGGAATCCATCGAACACTACTATACACAACTGTTTGCTGATCCGAAGTTTGACGCCCGGGATCTCGAACCTCTCACCCGACTTCCCTTCGACCGCCAGGATGTGCTTACTGAGCTTTTGCACCTGCCCAGCACTAAAGCCCTGGCACCGAATGGATTGCCAGCACTGATCTGGAAGCATTTTGCGCATGATCTTGTTGATCCTTCAATGCATCAGATTAAGCAGGTTTGGCTTCAATACCCCGTAAACCTTCCGGATCATTGGACAACAGGATGGATCCATCTCCTCACTAAACCGAATAAATCCCCAAGCAAACCCCAAGCTCTCAGACCAATCTGTCTTCAACACCCGGTCAACAAGATTCTTGCAGGAATTCAATGCAGACAGATCATTCTGCAGACGTTCGACAGACTAAGACGTCTTCCACTCTATGCGTATTTGCCTCACAGAGGGACACGTGAAAGTCTTCTCATCGTGGCCGAACATTGCAGACATGTGCGCATGATGTGTAGGGCTGTCAAGACTGGAACTCAGCCAAGGCTGCTTGGAGGACTCCAAGTCTCATTAGATATGGAAAAGGCATTTGACACAGTCAGCCGCACCCTGGTGCTTCGAGCCTTGCAGCTGTACCATTTGGATCCTGACCTTTTTCAACTTGTGCACACATGGCTCACCCCCCATAAGTATTGTATTCCCTTCAAGCAGTTGATCGGCCAAATCCATGCACATCGGGGAATCAAACAGGGCGCCAAAGATGCCCCCTTGCTATGGACCCTCACCATGAGCCTTGTCCTTGTTGATCTCCAAAACAAATATTCCCATCAATGGCTTCACGAGCACATGGTCGTTTACGCAGATGACATCCACCTCCGGTGGATAATTCGATCCACAGCCCAAGCCCTTGAAGCTCTCACTGACCTTCAACATGTGTTAATGACTCTTCAAGCCTTTGGCTTCAATGTCAATCTTCACAAGTCGGTTGCCATGCTTCGACTCCAAGGGAAAGAGGCTCCTGCCTTTCTTCGTAACTGGGTTAGTCGACCCTCCTCTGGCCCTGTCCTGACGCTGCCTGAACGAAGATGGCAGCTACCGCTTGTGTCGAAAACAGCGTACCTCGGAGTCATCATAGGTTATAGAGCATGGGATGCAGACACGACAGCACGTAGGATCACCGCCGCCAAATGGTGCTTCCGCAATCTCAGGTCCTGGCTTGTGAGTGATGTCCACCCCATTCGAACTAGACTCAAGTTAT